ACCTTGTTGCTGACTCAAAAATCACTCCTATCAGCACCGCTAAACGATCCACGTTATACACGCAATCTTTACTGCAACCACCTAGAACCGTTTACACAAAAAGTCTGCTGGACGTGAAAAACACGCGACACAGCAGCTTAAAACAAACCCGCTTTACAATAAGGAACTACTTTTAACAGGAAAAACACAAGAAAAACATAATCACTATACAAGAAATCTATGTGCAAAAACCCAGACTTCACCGCGCTCATTAAATGTGGAACACGTGAAGGGAAAACTCGCTTAATACACTTTAAATTGGCTGGCAATACGCAAATTTAAAGCTAAAAGCAAACAAATGAAACTGTAAAAAATTTGGATTAAAAACACAATATGGGTCAAATGCATATAGGAAACTTCATGCACATTGCATAGAGATTACTGCACATTTGGTAGCCAACAAAATGGCCACCAAACAAAAGGAGTCCATGTGGTTTAGTCAAGAAAATGACCCCCCACACAGAGGAGCACATGGCAGATACTAGAATGACCCCCCACAGAGGAGCACATGGCAACGGGCCCCCCACAGGGAAGCACACGGCAGACTCTAGCCTCAAAATTGCCTCTTACATAAAACAGACTTTTAGACAGAACATACACTGGACAATTACACAACAATATGAAGCACACATACAACACACAATTTGGGCACAATCACAGAACGGACATAAAACACCAACATATCACACTAACATGCACATGTAACAGAAAGGACCCCCTGCTGCATGCTTGCTGGGAGCAGTAGTACCACAAAACATTGTACAGACCACATAAACACAGATCTTACAACAGTTAACAATTAACCTAAGCCTTTCAGCACTGTAATAATTACCTCACGTGGAGGGGGGTAAAAAGCAATCACCACAGTACCTACAACCCACAAATACTTACCTAACACTATGCAACAACTTTTACCCACTAAAACATATACCCGTTTAATTTTTGGTTGGAAGATTTTTTTAAACTTGACCAAATCCAGCCAACCAAAACCCCCCCCCCTGCTGCTTCCGCAGAGACAAACCCTTGTCTTTCACCCACAAATCAAGAGTTTAGGACAAAAAACGAGGTCCTTGTTAAGCGGTATTTCTTGTTAGCTAACAGAGAGCGAAATCAGCCACACAACACACGCAAAAAGCGATCCTCTTAATGGCAGAGAGACCTGAAATGTGCCGGCATACTTTTTGCTAGTTCATGATGGCCATTCCCCCCTCGTTTCTAGGTTAGCTACGCAAGAATACGCGTTAGTATCCACCAGGCTCGCCAAACTGTCTTGGAAATTCGCTTTAACGAATTTCTCCTTACCGTGAGTACTCGCAGTTGGATGCGCAGAAATCCCCCATAAAGCTGTGCGAATCTCGCTTACCACGACTGCAGCCAAAACTACACGATTCCTGCCCATCCAAATACTTTGGTTCTGTTGAATTTGTGGGTGATGGAGCTCCGTTACCCTAGAATGATCACACGACACTCTAAGGCTGGTTGCAACTCACATAAGGGCCGGCTTTAGGCTCAGCTCTCTGTTTTTTAAAGAATACACACATGCCCCCCACATGAATAAAGTCAATCCCCTCCCACCGAACAATACAATGGGGATTGCCTATACAGAGGATATACATTCCAATTGGAGCATAGCCTTTGCTATTATCTATCACTGGTCCTCCCCCATGAGTCTTCTGAGGTCAGCAGACTTCCTCCCCTTCCCCCCTATGAGCCATCTGAGGTCATATTTCCTGTCCTACTAGCTTCTATTGGTATGCAAAATTCTCTGCACAAGCACTCCCCTAAAAATATCAGTCTGTACCTGGATGGGCCCGATACGATCTTTATTAAAACACATCCATCCAAGATACAGTTTCAAGTTGGTAATGGGTTGTAAGATATGCATAAGCCTACACGTGGAGTTCACACCGCTTGCGCATTGCGTTATGAAAGCCCACGTGGTACCATGCTGCTGATATGTGGATACAGGCCCACGGTCTACTGACAGCAGCATTCGCATGGAATGCCGTGGTGGTATACACGCCGGTCTATAAGCGCAGATCTGCCATCTCATCCATTACCAAGCCGAGTACTGTAATACATACATTGTACATGCGCATGGCCCAATTGCAGCCTTCAGAGCTTTAATTAAGCCACACGAGAGACATATGAATAACACGAATACATGACACATTTAAAGTTCGACCAACAATACAAAATTTCCATGACACCACAATTTTGCGACTGAGCTCAGCGCTATATTTCAAATTTCAGTGTTTTTGATTTGATTGTATTATTGAATTAAATGTATTATATTATTATTTTTTTATGCTTATTTATTATATTATAATTTATGATTTTGTGTTTCAAGTTTTATTATACCCAGGATGTTTACTAGACTCTTGTTTGGGCAGATTTCAGTGAGTTATTCCTAAAAATTACAGGCCTACAATAAAAAAAACTACATATTTCCATGCAAAAAAGTTACCTCTTTCAGTACAGAACTATGGACATAATCATACCACTAGGGAGGTTAAAAGGCATATATACAGTATTAGTGGGCATACAGAATAGTGAGCCAAAAAACAGTGAAAACAACCATAGTGTAATATTCTCAAACACCTCAAAGATAAAAAGGTAGTGTAGAGTTGTGCTCACATATGAACATAAAAACATGACACCCAATCCACTTGAACACCACTAGGGCATATATGACATCACATCATCAAAATCCACCACTGTGTTCCCCTTCTATAGTTATGGACTCTTACCAGGTATAGCAGCTCGTATAATGCATAGGGTCTAGGCAACCATTCAATATAAATCTTTCTCCTTCTTGGACCTGTCTTCCAGCTGCCCAGTTACCATTGAAATACCTCCAGGGAAGTTTATAAACAAAGCGTAGTCTCATAGCGTAGCAATCAGTAAGCCACTTTATTTAAATAAAATTGCACTTACAGAGGAACAATGGTGCTGGTCAATATTGTATTCATGCCTAGGGTTTCTTTTCACAAAATCAATATTCCTGTTTGCACTGGATATAGTGCACAGTATAATCTGTTTGTTTATTTTTTTTATGTATTAATTTTCTTATTGAAAGCACTATGAGGTTGAATTACTAAAACTGGCTTCTATGCAGCACTGCACCAGATTTTGCACACTCCAATCAGCTTCCAGGTTTTCTTGCCAAAGTTTATTTGAACAAGCTGAGATTAGAAGCTGATTGTCTACCATGTACAGCTGCACCAGATTCGGTATGAACCAGTTTTAGTAAATCTACCCCATGAGTCACTAATTTTACAGTATGTTTTATGCTGGCTATACATGGTTAGAAAATTGTTAAAAAAAAATGGTCGGGTTTCTAAAGATCTGTTGAATGTGCATGCTATAACGCCATCATTGTATCGATAGATGTCACCGAATAATCGAAATATTATCAATCCAAAACAACAAACGTTACATTTTTCGTCTACTGATTACATGATCAGCTGAAATGTAAAGATTTTTTACCTTTGTGAATTCTCCCACTAAAATACATAATACATAATTTCCGTGCATGACACATTTGTCATTGCCGTTGACAAACATCCTTGTGTCTACACAGATTTTTAGGTCTGGTCTTCAAATATGGCAGAAATAAGATTTTCCAGGTGTTGACTCTTTTTTTTAAAGCATATTGGAAGTCACACTGGTCAATGTGTGCAATATTTCCCTGTGTGAACAAAAAGTATGCAATAAGATCTTTCATTTCGTTGCTTATTGAATTGACTTCTGGGGTTAAATTTTAACACGTGCATACACTGTAGATTTTTCCATTTTTTTTTAGACCGATTCCAATACTAATTTTTCAGAAAACGATTGCTTAGATTTAAAAAATCTAACATGACAGTTCGTTTTTTCCATTAAACTTTGCATTTCGATAATCAGACACTTTTTCAAACAATTTTCTAACAATGTACGGCCAGTATTACTCTGAACTGGGACTTCTGAGATGGAGCTTCTCAAATGGAAAGAGGAGGGAATGTGACAGTAAAGAGGTGGAGAGTGCTACTGAAAGCATCTGAAAGAGGAAAAGGCTCATTGCGACCTTTATAATTTATAGGTCATACCCTAAAGATGAGAACACATCTGGGGTGAAGAGTGTGCACATGGTGAAGGAAAGAGGTTTTGAACCGGATCATAGTGAATTATGAATATGGACTGTTTATAAAGACACTACTTTTCCAGCACAGTGGATCAAATTTAAATGTAATGTTGTACACAGTTGGTTAAGTAAGGAATTTATTGCAATATACAGTCTTTAAATGTTCTATCTACATAAATTTGGTTATTTGGTTTTGTGGGATATTGTTTGTACAGAATGGTTTCATTAATTTAAATGTACTTTATGTAAAATAATTTTGATGAGTGGAACAAGTAGTGCTGCACTGATTAAGTTTAGATTTTAGAAAGTGTGTATCACATATTCGTGTTGGCAGGCTGCTTAACCACTTGCCTACCCAGCACTTATACCCCCTTCCTGCCCAGGCCAATTTTCAGCTTTCAGCGCTGTCGCATTTTGAATGACAATTGCACGGTCATGCAACATTGTAGTCATATGAAATTTTTATTGATTTTTTTTGAGACAGAGCTTTATTTTGGTGGTATTTAATCACCTCTGGGTTTTTTATTTTTTGCCAAACAAACCAAAAACAACTGAAAATTTTGAAAAAAAATGTTTTTTCTTAGTTTCTGTTATAACATTTTGTTAATAAGTGATTTTTCTCCTTCACTGATGTGTGCTAATGAGGCTGCAGTGATAGGCACTGATATGCTGCACTAATGAGCACTGCTGAGGAGGCAATGGTAGGTGGCACTGATGGGCATTGACAGGCATCACTGATGGGCACTGAAAGGCAGCACTCATATATCGCACTAATAGGTGGCACTGATATGTGGCACTGACTGGCATTTATAGGCGGTACTGACTGGCACTGTTAGGTGGCACTGACTGGCACTGTTCGACGGCACTGATAGGTGGCACTTATTGGCAGCACTGATAGGTGGCACTGACTGGCACTGAAAGGCAGCTCAGATGGGCACTGATATGTGGCATTGATGTGCACTGGTAAGTACTGATATGTGGCATTGATGTGGCACTGATGGACACTGACAGGTGGCATTGAAGGGCACTGACAGGTGGCATTGATGGACACTCTCACAGGTGGCAATGATGGGGCTACACTGATCATCAGGGCACACTGATCATCAGTGCCCTGATGATCAGTGTACATGTCCCCGCTGAGTAATACCAATTACCGGCTCTCCTCTCCTCTGTCAGCGTGACAGCTCTGGAGGAGAGGAATGCCGATAACCGACATTTCCTTACTTACATGTGATCAGCCGTGATTGGACACAGCTGATCACATGACAGAGCCGACATCATCGGCTCTTCCCATTGATCAGGGATCCGCTGTGTCCCAGGGATACAGCACACCACCAACTGCTGTGCTGTGTGCCTCCAGGGCGGTTAGAATGGGAGGACGTCATATAATGTCCTCCCAGAATGAGAGAACCGCCTTGAGCCCATCAATTCCTTATATGGCAGGCAGGAGGCGGTTAAAAGAAATTAGCAAGGTGACTGAGCAGTGCAGGAGATTTATACACATTTGTTTAAACTTCACTACCCTATATATTTCATAGGCAACACTTCAAAAGCCATTACAGGTCAATAGTTTAGAGTTACCCATGAATAATGGGTCTAAAATTATTTTCTTCACTCCAGTGTGCACAGTGATATTTAACATGTATTGCAATAAACGTTTTCATTTGTAGGCATGCCATCTCATATATTTATGTTTGTATGTGAATATATATATGGGGTGGGCAGCCTTTACATTATTTATTGTTTTTTGGGAGGGGGAAGGAGTTTAGGTGTTTGGGTGTAAATTTTCATAACATAGGGGACAAAAAGTCCCCTATGCAATTTGTTTGGGGTAACAGGTTCTCTTTAATGAGATATCAAGAGGTTTTGATTAAGGGCCCCCTTCCCCATAGTAAGCCACCTACAAGAAAAAAAAAACAGGGGGGAGAAAAAAGGTAGTTACAATACTAATATCATAACTCCTTGTCAGATCTCCCAGGGAATTTCAAGTACAATATATCTTGCAAGATTTGGGCTTCTCTGCATTGCTTGCAGTATATTGACTCCACCCTCGCCCAGGCACCACAGATGGTATATTACTTACCTTTTTTCCTGCAGGTATTGTGTTCTTTATTTTGTTCCAACATATGAAAGTGTCATCGCAACTACTTAGTGTATCCTGATGAATTATACCTTGTTTTTTCAAGACAAATTGGCCTTTCATTTTTGTGGTAAATGGTAATTCATATCTGATTTTTTTTATTAGCAAAGGAAAACTGGTACGAAACAGTAAAAAAAATATATAAATGTTTTAAAATTTTGCTGTATAGATTTCTTGGTATTACCATAACCTACCACCAAAGAAAAACCCAAAAGAAATATTCTTGCTCCTGACGAACACAGTGATGTGATACAGTATGTGTATGTTGTTTGTTATGTGTACCCATAGTAGGGCTCAGAAAAAAATAGCACACATATTGCTTTTTTTTTCCTCCCTAAAACATACTGACCATGACACTAACTGACACAGATACTAATTTTAAAAATATTTATTTTAATCCAACCTAAAATGCACTAATTCTGGCCTTTGACCCTGACCCTAACGCTGACACTGACCTAGATCAAACTCTGATCTAGCTGTTTTTTCTTCTTTTAAATTTTTTTTTAAACACACTTTTGTTTTTATTTACATTTTCTCCTCTAGCAAGGAGAAAAAGATACATTGTATCTTTTTCTCCATTCAAGAGTAGAAAATAGCACAGGGACAGGGTCCACAGTAACTGAACACTGTGATAGCCGATCACAGCGATCAAGTAATGGGGAACCAGGCTTCCCAGTTCCCAATTGTTAATATTGGACCTAGGACTCTTAGTGAGAGCCTGGTCTCTATGCTGGGAGTGTACTGCACAGTGGGCTCCCAGCACAAACACATGCATGCATGTGGCCCTACAGAAAAAGACCCACTTCAGTGAGGTGACATAAATGTGTACACGTGGCAGGAGGGGTTAATTGTTAACTTTCATGGTTAGCAACAATGTTGAATGCATGTCAGTCCAGCCAGTTAATGCATTACTAGTGTCTTTTTTTCTTTAACTTTTTCAATAATTAAAGGGTTCCCCAGATACCACCCATTTTATCTGAATGAGTATAGGGTACATAGTTCCCCTACTCATTCACACAAAAAAAAGGTGTAACCTAGAAATAAAGACACTCAAATGTTTGACAATTCCTTTAATACAAATTCACAAAAAAATGTCCCTTGCCGCAAATCCAATGTCAACCATAATCCCTGCTGCTAGTTGACTTGCTGAAAAAAAAAACAAAAACAAAAAAACAATGACCCAGCGCACACAACCGATCTAATGGTACCATTAGAAGAATTACAGTGCACCAGAGAGGTCATATAAAAGCTATATAAGGAAAGGGGTGAGGATATCATTGCCTAAATATGGCCAAGTGGCCATATATAAGCAATGATGTAAGTGAATGGGCTAGATGATGTCAGTGATTGGTAAGGAGTCAGCATCCTTAGCAATCATTGACAGCTGGAAGCTGTCAACTCATCCATGATGAACACCCTAGACGTTTAGAGTGAGGATAGATGTTCAAACAGCCACTGTTCAGTTTGAATGTAAAAATACTGAGCTCAAACCTAATACTTACCTTGATACTTATCTTGATGCCCATGCTGTTGAAAGATGCTTTCCAGAATACCTTCCACATCTGGCACACTTGTAGGTGTATGTCAGATGCCTGGTCCTCTGCTCTATACTGTGGTTCCTTCCACAAGCTCCTGTGTCCTGCAGTGATGTAGAGGCCAGCAGAGGAAATCAGAGAGCTCAAAGGGGATTCCAACATCTGACACTCCAAGAAGTGTCGAATGCAGCAGATGTTTTAACAAGCTTCTTTATTTAATTGAAAGGAGTTTTTCTGTGCAGACAGTGGTACAGGTAAATATTAATTGCTTGCTTTGCAGAGACCATTGCTTAACACATTTAAATTGACATGCTGTGTTCTGTGGAACAGCTTCCACATCTTCAGCAGTGAAGTACAGGTCATCAGTATTTCAGTAATATCAGTGTAGGATTAAAACCTGAACATTTTTGTGGTATCTTCAATTCCCAAAAGCACTACTATAGACAACAACATTCATATTTCAATGTACTGTAACTAGTTTTGAGTCAATAACATACCTTAAAACTGTCACATCTATTACTTCTACCACTGCAACAGTTAATCAAAACATCCATTAAAGGGCCTATTCACACATGTGCATGGTGGTGCGCTATATTGCTAAAAAAGGGCCATGTGCATTTTTTAATCCACTGTGGTATGTTTACAGCCCATTTATATTGAATGGGTTGCCTTAACTCAAAGCAGCCCATAAACGGCAAAGTAACATGCGTTAATGCACTGTAACACTGCACAGCAAACTGTTGGCGCTATATAAATCCTGTATAATAATAATAATAATAACAGATGTCTAAAATGTGAATCACTCCTTAATGTTTTGATGACAGCACATGTTGCCAGGTCAGAAGTGTGTTGTATATATTTCTGAAGTGAACTTCTCCATGGTTGTTTATTAATTATTATTATACAGTACATCCATAGAAATATATAATGCTCGAAGGTTGGGAAAATAGTGTGTAGCTATACAGCTGTTCAGTTAAAATTACACACTCTTTCTAGGCAACTGAGCTGATCTGAGCCTAATCCAGGCATTATGTGAGAGAGTAGGGTCCTTTGATGAATATATAGTATATTGGTGTTTTGTGTTCCTATTAGTGCCCAGGTGATTGGTGTAAGATAGAACAAAAGATGGCACAGGTTGATTTTTTAATGAGAATACATACAGTATAGCTTATGTTCTTCTATTTGTTGCTTACACTTTCTTATTTTATTCCTTTTTTTTTAGTCAATATTGTTTAGATTTGTTTGCTTGTGGGGTTTTGGAATAATCCTTAGACATTAAGTAGAGAATAAAAATGTATCACTGCTGCCATACCAGCATTTAATAGTAACAATGCTTTGTCTTACTCCCTAGGAATTCACAAAGATATCATTATTTCAGCTGAATTATCTTTATATAAAAGGGAATATAACTGTTTAGAGTAACAGTAGTAAGCTTGTGGTTTTCTAATGCTAAAGTCAGTAAAAAAAACTAAGCTTTAGTCCAGCATATTCATGAAAAGATGATTAAAGGATTAAAGGTGGTCAATAATACTGGGCTTTCAGATCATGCATCTATTCAGCCTAATATATAGGACTATATGTTTAGCATGTTAGCAGTGAGCTTGCTGAAGCATAATTTTTTGCATTTAAATAACAAGGCACCAAGAATTATAAAATGAAATGTATGTATTCCACTAGTAGCAAGTAAGCCAAAACTCATTATTATGTATACAAAGAAGTTACTTGTGTAATAGTTATTTCTGTCCAATTGTGTGTGTGTGTGTGTATATATATATATATATATATATATATATATATATGTACTGAAAATTAATGTGTCTTTAATCCAAGGTTGAATCGTCAAAAGATCATAATGCTTTGTAACTTTTTTTTTTTAATCTCATCAATCACCTTAAGTGGAAAAGTACTCAGAAAATGTATTAGTTTACAAATAAAATCCAATAACAACTTGAAATGAAGATGGGTATAATAATCTCCATTCTTCTGGGCAAATGTATTGATTTTTACAAGGTAATAGTATTACTTTTGATGTCCAAACAAAATGGGAATTAACATTTGAATTTGCAAAGAATCTTCAGATAATTGGACTTGTTTGTATGTATTGATTGAAAAGATAAATTGAAGCACCTCTGGAAATACAAACGGTAGCTATAGAGGGATTAAATCAGTCCATTTTAGTTCTTGAAAAAAGAGGAATCAAAGCAGGCAACTACTATGAAGGTGTATTTTTCACATCGCTTTAAGTCATGGGATGTTGTAACAGATGAAGAATGATTAATTTATGTTTTGATTTCATTTTAGGGATGTAACTCTAAGAATGAACCAGCTTGTTTGCAGTTCAGTGACTGCCCATGTTTGGCTAGTTCACCAACCCCCATGAAGCTCTGGTTAATGTAACCAGAGCTGTCATAATATAACCAGTCTATCATTTAGTAGTGATATCACTACTGTTGTTAAATGACATAAGAGATTCCCATTGGCTTTTGTTTCTACACAAACCAGCAAAAATTGTGGGTGACATCATTAGTCATATATTGTTAAAGACTTGTGGGGCTCCGGGGCAATAAGAGATAATGGAGCCCCCCTGTGTCTCCGCCTACACTTGAGCCAAAGCCACACCCACACAAC